TGTCTCTGGATGTGAAGAATATAATCTCGTTTTGGTTAATTTAAAGAACAAGCCACGAATTCTGGCCGGCCTCAGCCTACAATTCCAGTCAAACTTTATGAAATGCAGCATTAAATCCAGGAGAAGACAGAAGCAGGCTTTGTTTTTGATGTTCTGCTCTTGTTTCACTTGGTTTAATGGTTAATAGAGCTGCATTGTTTTGTCTCAATAAGAAGTCTTCACTCGTTAAAGTTGGTAGAACCACGTACAAGAATCTGTCAAGACCAAAATCATCAATCCATGCTAGATGATCTTAAAAAATTAATGTCAAAGCCGGCCTAAAACATTAACCATCATAATTTAATTACATATGGCAAAGCCGGCCAAGAACATCAAGCATCATAGTTTATTACATTGTTCTGCTTTTGTCTCACTCGATTTGAATAGTAATGGTCCTGCATTCTTTTGTCTCATTAAGAAATATTCATTTGTTGACCAGATACTGCGTCCAAGTAACTGTCAAGACCAAAAGAACAATAATTTATGCTAGATTAGATGATCTTGGAAGTGCAGAAAATGTCGAAGATGATTGCTTAGAACATTAAGCGTTACATATAGAAAATGTTGTCTAAGAGCAGCTCAACCAGAATTTTCCCATTGACCCTCTCAAATGATAGAGAGAGCCAGTGAATAGAATGACAGATAAATTTCTTGCGCTGTTCAAGTTCTTATTCTAGGCGTTGCAGCTCAAATCATCTTCATTTCCTGCTTTAAGCCATGGCTATGCCAAGCTCAAATCCGCAACAATATCATCCTCTTTTCATTTTCTTCCCACTACTATTCCTACTGCCTTATGCAAAATCATTTTCCTTTAGCATTACCAGGTTCAATCCTAACATGCAGAACATTAAATTTGAAGGTGGTGCGTTTCCTTCAAGTGGTAGCCTCCAGCTCACCAAGAATGATGTTGTAGCAAACCTCACAGGCAGCACCCGAAGGGCCTCATACAATCAACCAGTGCAACTTTGGGATGCCAGTCAAGGAAGATAGCTTGCAGATTTCACCACTCACTTCTCCTTTTACTATTCAACAAGTCAATGATAATAGCTACGGTTATGGAATCTCCTTCTTCATGGCACCTTTCCATGCTATAATTCCGTCTAATTCTGGTGATGGCCTGCTGGCACTATTTAGTAATGCGATAAAATTGGATGAGTCGAAGACAAATCAGATTTTGGCTGATGAGTCTGACAGCCACAAAGACTCCTGAGATCCAAGTGATGATCATGTAGGAATTAACATCAACTCTATTGTCTCTGTGGTAAATGTTGCCTGGAAAAGCAGCATTAGGACTGGAAAGCCAGCAAACGCTTGGGTAGATTACAACTCCAGCACACATAATCTGAGTATGTTTCTGACTTATGCTGATAATCCAGTTTATAGCGGGAATTCTACCCTTTGGTTTATTGTTGACTTGAGGGACATCTTGCCAGAAAAGGTTAGAGTAGGTTTCTCTGCCTCCACAGGTAGTGTTGTGGCTGAAACACATACAGTTCAAGCTTGGTACTTCAATATCACAAACTTGGATACCAGGAAAAAGAATGAAGGGTTGGTTTTAGGTTTGGGATTGGGATTTGGGGTTTTGGCTTGTGGGTTGGTTTTGTTTGGCTTCATCCTTAGGAGGATCAAGTCAAAATGGAAGACGGGAGCTGAGGCCATTGATGTATATGAAGGAGCGGGTCAATCAAACCAGGAAGGAAAGTATCCAGGCCAATCAAACTTAGAGCAATAATCAAGGAATATTATGAGCAACGGTCAAGTAACGTTACTCTCCTTAATCCTAGGCATAACAAATGGATCTGATCATGTAATTACAATTATATATATCTCTACTCTTGTGCACTACTCTCATCAAAAAATACAACTCAGTAAACCTTTCAAATCATTCATCATCTTGAAGAAGAGGCTCCAGCGTTGACTATCTCCAAGAATGGGAAGGAAGAGTCTAATCCAGAATTTGAAAATTGGCTGAACAATGATGGCCTTCTAACTAACTGGTTGCTTGGTACCATGAATGAAGAAGCACTGAGCGTGGTAGTTGGTTGTGAATCAACTTTCCAGATTTGGAGGTGTCTTGAGGAACATTACTTGCCTTCCACAAAGCAGCAAGAATTACATTTAAAAGGCCTACTGGTAGTGAAAAGAAGTGATGGTGAATCTCTTGAAGACTTTGTGAGAAAATTTAAAAACACCTGTGATCAATTAGCTGCAATCCGTAAACCTCTCGATGATTTGGATAAGGTATTTCAACTCTCTAGAGTTGTAGGATCAAGGTACCAGCCTTATAACCTTGCAGTCCTATCAAAGGCTCCATATCCAACCTTCAATCAGTACACAACAGGCTTACAGAATAATGAGAGGGACTTACAAGCAGCAGAACAGGAGAACAAAGACAAAACTCCAGTTTATGCTCAAACATTTGTGGCACACAGGGGGAGAGGAAATCGAGGCAGAAGCTACGGTGGTAGGTACTTCAACTCTAGGGGCAGAGGTGTTGTTCAAGCTGGAAATTACAATTGGTTTGGTAACCAACGAACTGGAAATTACAACTCATTTGGTAACCACAAGAACTTCATAGCCAATAACAATCCTCTACCACAACAGAATATGCCACAAAAGTTTCAGCAACAAAAATGGCTCACTCAACGAGGAGAGAACCGTGTCAAATTTGTGGAATTGCAGGACATACTGCTTTAAAATGTTGGTACAGGTTTGATCATGCATATCAGAGTGAGGAACTACCTCAAGCCCTTGCAACCATGACTCTATTGGAGAAAAAAGACCAGAATACCTATGTGGACACAAGTGCAACTGATCACATGACCTCAGATGCAGGTAAACTTTATACTAAAAGGCCTTATACTGGAAACCATAACGTGTTTACAGGTGATGGAACTCCTTTAGATATCTCTCACATTGGATCTGCATCTATTGGTTCTTTAAAACTTAATAATGTTCTGGTTGTTTCTAATCTCAAGAAAAATCTTTTATCTGTCAGTAAATTTACTAAAGAGAATCCTTGCATTTTTGAGTTCTCATCTAATGGTTTTGTGATTAAGGACCAAGCAACACAGGCGGTGTTGGCTAGAGGCACTAAAAAGGGGCAGCTTTATGCATTGGAAGAGGAACAAAAGCATGTTTTAGCAACTATCTCAAATAAAGCTACTGATTCTATATGGCATCAGAGGCTAGGACATCCAAATTCCAGCACTCTAAAAACTCTTGTTTCAAAAAAGAGCATCTCTATTTCGAATTGGACAAAACCTTCCTATTTGTGCACTAGTTGTCAAATGGGCAAGAGTTGTAAGCTTCCTTTTCTAAGAAATAATGAAAGAGCTAAATCCTTATTTGAGAAAATACATTGTGATTTAGGGGGACCTTCTTCAGTTCAATCAATTAATCATTTTGTTTATTATGTGATATTTATGGATGATTATAGCAGGTATACTTGGTTCTACCCCATACATAAGAAATCTGACTTTTTTGGTGTGTTCTTGAAATTTCATAAGATGATCTCCAACCAATTTAACAAAACTATAAAAATTTTCCAGTGTGATGGAGGAGGAGAATTCTCCAGTTTAGCATTTGTTAATCACCTAGCAGAAGGTGGTATTAAGCAACAAGTGTCCTGTCCTGGTACACCAGAATAGAATGGTGTTGCTGAAAGGAAACATAGGCATATTGTTGAGACAGGTTTGACTTTATTATTGCACGCTAATATGCCATCTCGCTATTGGGTTGACAGCTTTTCTACTGCTGTTTTTCTCATTAATAGAATGCCTACATCTGTGTTAAACAATAAATCTCCCTATTATTTGCTTTATGGTAAGGTCCCTAATTGCTCGATGTTAAAAGTGTTTAGTTGTCGTTGCTTTCCTTATCTTAGAGATTATGCTGCCCATAAGCTTCAACCTAGGTCTTTACCATGTGTTTTTATTGGTTATAGTCCTATTCAAAAAGGGTATAAATGTTTACACCCCTCTACTCAACGCATCTACATATCCAGACATGTTATTTTTGATGAACACTTTATGCCATACACTGATCTTACAAATATTTCAAAGCATGTTGCTATAGATGGAGAATTTTGTGAGTATCCTGATTGTGATGAATGGTTGCAAGTTTCATCTCATTTACAGCCATCCAAGCACTTCAATGAGCATTTACAAATAAATAATGAAGTATAGCAACTTGAGGAAGGCAATGCAACACAACAACAGCTCTCAACTCAAGAACAAGTTATGCAAATAAATAATGAAGGAGAAGAATCAAGATTTCTACAGGATGCTGAATCACCAGGCCATATAGATGAGTCACAATCTGTTGAATCATCAAGCCATACAAATGTATCTTCTTCATCAGAAGATATAATGCAGCATCGACTTAATGAAGAACCAGTAGAACATCAACTTATTGGAGAATCTGAAAATTCTAGTCTCGATCGCAGTGGAGTATCACCACCACCTCATAATGCAACTTCAGTCTCCAATCATCCTATAATAACAAGAGCTCGAGCAGGGACTCATACTGGTCATGTTAAAACAATATTTACAAAGCATGCAAATTACATGAATACTAATGATCCTTCTTTTAACATTGCAGATCATGACATCCAAGAGCCAAAAACAGTGAAGAAGGCACTCCAAACTTAATTTTAATTCAAATTTAAGTTTATTTATCATTATTAAAAAAAAAAAAGGAAAAGGAAAAAAGGGGCGTCGGGGTGGGAGCGTGGGGAGAGTCTCGCCCCTGTTTGCCCTTCGATTTTGGCAAGGAAATGTTCACGGGATGGAGGGGCCAGAAATGCTGATTTGTGCACCACCTGACGCTTTACAAGTTCTGGGAATAAGTACGAAATTGCAGAGCAATTGATACCACCTATACTTGTTTGTCTGGCACCACGTCCCTCCATAATTTAAAGTTAATTTATTTAACTTAACCTTAAAGGATGAATTTATTTTCGAAAGTGGTTAGTGGGTGTCCATTCAAAAAATATAATTTTGGACGAGAAATTTTGTAATTTTTAGGAGCTGTGATTGACAAATATTTTTTTTTTGAATTTTTTAAGTTTTAAAAAAGTATTTTGTAATATCAAAAAATTGAATGATTTTCTCTCATGTGTTCTGAAATTCTTAGGGTTTTAGAGACGGACGGTTTTTTCCTCAAGATTTTTCTCCAGCATAAGAGCCTCTTTTTTTTTTCTCTATTGCTCAGCTTTCTCCTCATGCTTGCCTTTCCTTGGCATCTTTGTGTTTTTCCTCTCGGTTTTGACTCCTTTTGTTCAAATTTAGAGAATGCTTTCAGATCTGGGTTCAGATTTGTGACTTGACGTGTTGCGACGGTAGTGAACAGTTGTGTGTGGGTTGTGGGGGAATTGAGGGATGAGATTTGGTAGTTCCATTGGCGATTTGGGGATGACATGTGGCAAAATTGAAAAATTGCTTAGTCAGGTTCCCCTTACTAAGAATGCAGATGCCTTTCTTCCCTTGATATCGATATGGAAACCATATGATTCCTGTTCAGAAAAGCTATGGTTGGTGGGAAAGATATTTTCCTAGAAAAGGTTTCATGCGAGGGTGATTGGTATTACGGACACACCGATGGATCCTTTCCTTCTATCTACCGGTTAAAGGTCCCTTTGGCTGAACAAAGTATTGTAGTGTCAGGAGACACTACATCGCCAAGTCCATTAATCTTCTATGTTAGGTCGGGTGATACAATAGATGTGATTGCCAATAACGTCAAAAAGCTCCAACAAATTCTTTCTATGTCATTACATAGCTCTATTATATCCCTTTAACATATATTGACATGTAGAGTTTCCCAATTCCAAATTGTCTTATTTGTATAGAGCACTTAAAATTATCTTATTTGTATGAAGCACTTAACTCTATATATTAGTGTCATAAGTCATTCCTAACTTTTCTTTTTCTAAATTAGCCCATACGACAAAATAGAGTCTGTATTGTAATTGTTTTTCCATTATTAATACAATTGTACTTTTTTTCAAAAAAAAATTGTAATATATATTACACTGTATTATTTAAAATACTAGATGTAGTAAATTTAATTTGAGAAAAATAGAGAGAAGGAGAATGAAGAGATATACTTTCATTTTTCTCTATTTCCCTTCCTTCTCCTCCTCTATAAACCCCACAATCTTTCAAAATTTTTTCTGATCAAATAGAGAAATTTCCACCCCTCTTCCATCCATTTTTTTAAACTAGACATATATATTAATGAAAGTTAACCCATTAATATTAAGAGTTATTCATGTTTTGGTTAGCTAAAAAACATGAGACTCTTTCTAAGTTTTTCAACTTGGAGTGTAGTACAAGGGATTGGGGGAGTAGTCACAGGATGGAAAGCTTATTTTGCTTTTGGTTAATTCTTTTCGCCTCTGATTTCAAGCGGTGGGCTCAGAAAGATGCGCGTCTTTGATGCCATGAGAACTCATGGTGGTTGGGTGTGAGCTGATTTCAACCTAATTAAACTCCAAGAAAACGTCAATTACAAAGACAAACGAGTTTATTTTTTTCTAATGGTGAAAGTCTATGCATAAGTTTGACCAGAGAAATAACATAGATAATGACTTCAACTTTTAAAACTTTACAAATTAAGGATTTAAATTCTTTTTGTTTTTAACTAAAGATCTCAACTTTTCAATTTTTCTATTTCATCAATTTTACTATACAAGATTATGTC